CACACACACACACACACACACACACACACACACACACACACACACACATACACACACAAAAACACTCACACACACACACACACACACACATAAGATAATGAAAACACTCAAGCCGTTGTGCTGTAGTATTTTAGCCGTTTTTAAGAAAGCTGTGGTAAATGAAGGGTTAATGAGTGTATCTGTCTTCCGCAGGAGCAGCTGTGAAATTCCTGCCAAACACTGAAGCGAAAGCAATTAGGAGCGACTGATCTGCAGGGAAAACCACCAGTGAGATACAGACTCCAGCACTGTATCACTGTTTCAAAGACATAACCAAGGTTCTTTAAATTAAAACATCAACAGTTAAAAAACAGTTTGAACAGTTAAAAAAAAAATAAAAATAAGCAACATGAATTTCACAATTACTTCCATGCACTTTTTATTTAGTCATTATGTTAGGATTATTTTTTTCTCATGTATAATAACTACTATATTCATATTTTACTTCTTAGATTTAACATTTTGAATCAATTATCTGAAGTGGCTGTTTGGCATATTTGAAATGATTCTGAAGTGATTCAGTGTTTGAATCACAGTTCATAGAAATCCATCCGTAATCCTCTTTTTTGGACCTATTTACACTATCAGAGCAAAAAGAAACAAAATATATGCTCATATTTTGTTTGCAATATAAGTTAGTCAATATTAACTTGTTTAAGAAGCATTGTATTAAAGCAATATCACACTCTCTATCATGCTATGATCATCTGCAGCTGTATTAATCTACTCTTTATTAATACCACAGCTACTGGCCGAATATACAAATAAATGGACATGAATATTGATTCGAGTTAACTCATTGTATTATGTGGGAAGAAAGAAACAAACACAGCTATCAAATCCCCTTACTGTCAGACGTTCAGCAGTGAACTGAAGAAGTGCATAAAAACCCCAAACGCACACCCAGTCTAGACCGACATCAGACAGCTATAAACCTGAGTTTGTTTCTGGCGCTGTAGATTCCTCTGAGGGAAGAATCATTCTCAGACAGTACGAGAATCTCAATCAAGCAAACACCAGACAGGAATCACTCCGAAACAGCAGCTTTCACTGACCACTGCTGGAAAAACCATAGAAAAACTCAGAAAAACCTGTCTCCTATGAAACGCACGACCCTTAAGTTGCTGGATAATCCTTTTCCATCAACACAACAAGATAAAGTCAACTCAACAACACAAAACTAGATGTTCAATTATAGATGATTGCAGATGCTTAATTATAATTAATAATTCTGTCTACACTTGAAGTGCCCATGAAGAACCACAATGTGATGCAAAATCGGTTAGAAATTAGTTTCTAGTTTTACTTAGTATATCATACATAGACATATCATACTGATTTATTTTCTCAGAACTTATTTATAAATATAATATGTAAGAATTAATTACACCAAATTTTATTCATTATGTATGAAGTGTTACATCATAAGCTCTTGATGGCATAGGGTTATTATAGTTAGCTAAAACTAAAAATAAAATGAAAACCTTTTAAAAAAAATCTATTTTAGTTGTTGTTTTGAAATTAAAATAAACATCAACTGAAGTTAAATAAAATATATTTTTTTATTTCAGCTAGTTGCCAAGGCAACTTTTTTTATCTTAATTTAGTTAAAATAATATACAATTTTAATTAAATTTTTGAATAAAATAAAACAATATTTTTAAAATAACAAATTATATTAAAAAGATGGCGCCAGTTAAATACAAATTAATAAAAACTATATAGACAAGTATAAAATAACTAACTAAAAATTACAAAAACAACAACATTTTCATTCTTTAATTTTTATTTTTTAATGTTACTTTTTTATTTTAGTTCAAATGAAAATGGAAAATTTTTAAATGAAAACTGATTGAAAAAGACTTTAAGAGTATCTCAATGATATTAAAATAACACTGATACAGACTGTGTCTTAAATGTTTTTGGAAGTAAAAATATGTTCTCTAAACTATGAGCCTCAAAAACAGACCATAATGTGCTCTGCTTCTTTGTGTATAGGTAATGTAGTAAACTAGTTAGTTACGTCATCGTTCTGCTCAGTTTCTCCCAGTCCAGCAGCAGGTCCAAAAGCACCATTTCAGCTCATATGGACTCTAATGTCACATTTTGCAGTTTAATAAGGGTGCTGAGACATTCGTAGAGGATGGTGGAGTCTCACCTGCTGATTTGGGGGTGAATTTGTCCCTGTTTGCAGCACAAATGGCCAGCAGCCGATACCCCAGATCCATGTCAAAACCCTGCTGACCTGCGACACGACTCACCACCTGACACACAGACGCAAATAATATTCAAACATCACTGAAATCTCAGCATTCATGCATGCATGCTTTGTCATAGTTAAATTGGGTGGTTGCGGTTTTGGGAATAAAATATCTGTCCTGATTTGCAAACCCTCGTGAGGTCGGCCCACGTTAAACAGCACCACACCCTGAGGCCTGAAGCACAGACGTTCATATCTGCGTCTTAATTACAGTTAAACACACATCATGTGTGTCTAAAGCGCCTAATTAAACATCTGAGGGAGGTTTGGTTTAGCCCTTTTTCCACATTCTCCTTAAATGCAGCTCAGATCTGCTCTTTCTCTGCTGTAGAAACTGAAACAGCAGAAACACTAAATCAGACATTACTGCACAGAGTCACTTCATAGAATAAAAGTGTCACGAAGCAATAAACTTTAGGCCGACTGAATAAAATTAAGCACATCGTAAATAAATTCAAGCAGAATACAACAGAAAAGAACAATCAAACAGACTACAATATAACAGAGCAGGACCATTTCAAATAAAATGAATAGAATTAATTGGAGCAGAATAGAACAGAATGAAATAAAAAATTATTAAAGCACAATAGAATAGAAAAGTAGATAGACGAGAGCAGAATAAAATACAATAAAATGAATAGAATAGAACAGAAAAAACAATAGGCCTACAATAAATTAAAGTACAACAGAAGAGAATAGAATGGAGCAGATTAGAAAAGAATAAAATGGTACAGAATAAAGTGCAATAGGATAGAAGAGTAGAATAGAAAAGAGAAGAGATCAGAACAGAATAAAATAAAATAAAATGCATATAATATAATAAACTGGAGCCAAACAGAACAAAATAAAATAGAATAAATTAACAAACAGAAGAGCAAAATAAAGCAGAGCAGAGTAAAATTAAATAAAAATAACAAATTGGAGCAGAATAGAAGAGAAATAATAGAATAGAATAGAATAGAATAGAATAGAATAGAATAAATAAAAGCACAAAGGAATAGAAGAGTACAATAGAAAAAATTTCAATAACACAGAGCTGACCAGAATAGAATAATATAAAAAGAATAAATTGGACCAGAATAGAATAAAATTGTATATATTAATCTTTATATTGATCTTTACACAAGGTAACTGTCGAAGCTGGTACAACCAATTGTTCATATTACTAACAGCGGATGAAAGCTGACTGCTGACTGGTTAAAGGGATAGTTCACCCAAAAATGAAAAATTCTGTCATTAATTACTCACCCTCAAACCCGTAAGACCTTCGTTCATCTTCAGAACACAAATTAAGATATTTTTGATGGACGATATTCTCCAAAATGGCGCTGATGTCACATGGATTATTTTACAGATCTCCTTGCTACGTTTCTGGACTTGGGAACATTTCAGTTGTGTTGCTGTCTATGCAGGGTCAGACAGCTCTCAGATTCCATCAAAAATATCTTAATTTGTGTTCTGAAGATGAACGAAGGTCTTACGGGTTTGAAACGACATGAGGGTGAGTAATTAATGACAGAATTTTTCATTTTTGGGTGAACTATCCCTTTAAGTGACTGAAACTGATTGATTTGACCTCACCGTTAGGCATCCCATCAGGCTTTGCTCAAAGGGCCGCTGAAACGCTCGTGGATCTCCACACCAGTCCAACAGCTCCGACGCCGCCGTCTGGAAATTTGCTGGATTTTGCAGGTGCTGAGAAAAGAAAATCACACTCAAACATTATGCTTGAAAAAATGTGTTTAGTTAGGCTTTGAGGTGTGAAAGGCCCTTGAAATCCAAAAATATTCATCACTAGTCTACAGGAAATTATTGTCTATTGTTCCTGGCAGTCTAATAACTGTTCAACCACAGCCCGTCTGCCCTCCAGGTGTCCTGTAGGGGGCGTCACAGCTCATGAATCTATTAAAACACTCTCAGAAGAGAGTGACAACTGGCTAGTGAGCCGAATGGAGACCCTAAAGGTGTTTTTAAGGTCTGGGTTCTGTAGGGATCATGTGTTTTCTCTCACCTGTTTGATGCAGTGGAGCCGGTCGTTGGTTTGCTGGATGTGTCTGTCCATGGACGGGAAAGAATTCATCCTGCCAGACCGTCTCTGACCCTATCGCCCGGCCATCCAACGCTCAGACCCTGAAATCACACTCCATTTAGACACAGTGCCAGATTCAGTGATCAGACGCACAGAGGCTTTTTGTCAGGCCAGACAGGAAGAAACCACCTAGCAACCAACTAGAACAGCCTAGTAACGGCCTCACAACAACCACAATTTCTTGAAAAATGTGTAAAAATTAGTGATGCAACAACATTTTTAACCAAACCTAAAACAAATATTTTAAATAATCAATTAATTACGTTTATTTAATAATCGACACTCTAATAAAAACAGAGTTATGAACATTTACACTGTGGCTAAAATAAAAACCTGTTTTAATGGCAGATTTATTCAAACATACATTAAACAACGAAGACAACAGGTCAAGAAAAAATCTGTGATTATAGGTAAACTACAAAAACTAAAAGTATAACTTAAAAATAAAAATATATATATTTTTTTGCTACTTGAATTAAAATAAACATTACCTGAAATAAAATCTAAAAAAATTTGAAAATAATAAATTTTGCTTGGCAATTAGCTAAAATTAACTATTTTCATTTAACCTGAAGTACTAAAATAACCAAAAACTAAATAAACTACACTAAATAAAAATGTATAAAAACTATTTAGACATAAAAAAAATCAAAAACTAATAAAAATGGCAAAAACACACAACAATGTTAATCAAATTAAAGTGAAAACAGAAAATATTCGAATAAAAATCTAATTCAAAATATTAACAAAACTATAATAGTATGTCAATGATATAAAAAATAATACCAGTAAAAATCAAATGAATTATAAATGCATGATATATAATGCATATATTTCATAAAATGCTGTTCTCTAAAGATGTAATTTCTCCCCCGACGTACTTTAGTTAGCATGTTTTCTTTATTACTAAGTAGTACATAAATGCACGGCTATTTATTCAACATTTAGATAAACGTGTGTGTGTGTGTGTGTGTGTGTGTGTTTGAGCAGCAAGCATTTCTGCTGTAAAATAATGAAACTAGGTCAGAATATGAGAGCCGATTCCATAGTCACATGATATTACAGCAGCGCGTCCCGTTTACATCATCCGTCTCAGACGCTGAGTGATATTTATAGTGTAAATGAACAGTATATGTGCAACTGCAGACAGCCAGACTGGAGCATCCCAGAATGCACCAGCAGGAGTTTGGCTAACATGTGGGATCTCTCGCGTACTCACAACTATCAGACTGCGGGCTGCAGCAGCTGGAACACTTGCATAACTAACAGACGATGTGCCGAGACAGGCCACATCACACACACACACACACACACACACACACAAACATCCCTGGCACAGACTGAAGGATGATGGGAAACATGTCGAGAAGCAGAGGGAGTGTTGTAACGTAGCTGTTTAAGTGATATTTATAGTGTAAATGAACAGTATATGTGCAACTGCAGACAGCCAGACTGGAGCATCCCAGAATGCACCAGCAGGAGTTTGGCTAACATGTGGGATCTCTCGCGTACTCACAACTATCAGACTGCGGGCTGCAGCAGCTGGAACACTTGCATAACTAACAGACGATGTGCCGAGACAGGCCACATCACACACACACACACACACACACACACACAAACATCCCTGGCACAGACTGAAGGATGATGGGAAACATGTCGAGAAGCAGAGGGAGTGTTGTAACGTAGCTGTTTAGTGAACGACAGTAACCCTCCACAATCACACGACTCTCGTTTGTGTTACATCACTCAGTAACAAGACGGCATGTCAGACGAGACACACACTAAAGCTCCAGACGTCTGAGTGACACACACACACACACAGACACACACTGGATTAAGACGTTTACAATCATCACATTCATACAGACGTCAAGAACCAGGAAGAGTCACTAATAAGAGTCATATATGAAACTAAAAAACATGGCTAAAAATATAAAGATGACAAATGGAGGAAATAAATTAACCCTTGAAATACAAAAATATTTATCACTAGTCTACAGGAAATGATTGTCTATTGTAGATGGATTTCTGCAGAACTAGAAAATACATACAGAATGAGAATCATATTCATATTACATTTTACTAATGATTAGCACATTCTTAAACTTTCATACTACATTACTACCATATTCATAGATCATCACACTGAACAATCATCATATACATACACCATCACACTGAACCATTTCCGTATTTATACACCATCAACATACTGGACAATTACCATACTGGACAATTTACATATTCATACACCATCACGTCGAACAATTATCATATTCATACCCCATCACACTGAACAATAACCGTATTCATACAGCATCACGCTGAACAAATATCATATTCATTCATACACCATCACACTGGACAATTACCATACAAAACTATTTCTATATTCATACTATATTCTTATATTCTTCTATATTCCATCACGCTGAACAAATTCCATGTTGAATGATTACCATTTTCATACACCATCACACTGGATGATTTCTGTATTCATACAACATCAACATACTGGACAATTACCATACTGAACGATTTACATATTCATACACCATCACAATTACCATATTCTTACACCATCACACTGGACGATTTCTGTATTCATACAACATCAACATACTGGACAATTACCATACTGAACAATTTACATATTCATACACCATCACGTCGAACAATTATCATATTCATACGCCATCACACTGGACCATTTCCATATTCATACCATATTCATACACCATCACATTGGACAATTTCCATATTCATACACCATCACACTGGACAATTTCCATATTCATACACCATCACACTGGACAATTTCCATATTCATACACCATCACACTAGACAATTTCAATATTCATACACCATCACACTGGACAATTTCCATATTCATACACCATCACACTGGACAATTTCCATATTCATACCATATTCATACACCATCATGCTGAATGATTTCATACATCATCATACTGGATGATTAACATATTCGTATTAGCTTTAGCATATTAGTATATTAGCATTAGTATATTCATTTACTATGACACATCATATTGAACAATTTTCATATTCATAAAACATGGCATGGTTCCCATAGCTTATAAACTATGGCATTACCAAGGTTATCCCGTCCTGCTCACTCTGTTCACTGAAATACTCATTCAGTAGTGCGTCTGAAAGCGTTTCCCTCTGTGCCTCTGATTCAGATCAGCCTCAGGAAATGAGGCCTTTCCTGTCAGAGGAAGAGAGAGAGAGCGTTTTACAGGCTCAGACAGGAACTGGTGCAGGGAGGAACACGGACATCTGAACCCTCAACCGCTGTGTGTTCGGAAGAACATCCCCAACCCGCTCAACTTCACACCCACAAGCCTTTCTGTGCATGGTTTAACTTTAGTTTTCTGTCGTTTTTGCAGAATTTAACACAGAAAACCATATTTTCAGATTTTATTTCAGACCTTTTATTCTCTCTGTCCTGCGGTTGGACGGGATGATGTCATGACGATGATGTCATGATGATGTCATGACGATGCAAGTAATGCAGCAGATGGGATAAAACCACAGTTTTTTACGTCTATATTCTGACATATTTCCAGGGTTTCTGCAGGTTTTATGAAGGTCAATTTAAGACCAAGTAAAGAAAACGCAAGTGATAAATTGAATGGAACACAATCTGCCAACATAGTTTCTAAATGTATTAGCAATGCTTTAAAGTTTATAAATACAACTTTCAATTGATCTCCTTTACTTTTTCATTCAAATTACAAAAAAAACTGCTTCCAACCTCTAGAATATGGAAATAACTTTTACTGTACCTTCTGATCACACTGCAAAAAATATTCATTTTTTGCAGCGCATGCAACATTTAATGCCATGACTTCTGTGGACTTTTTTGTGGAAAGGCAAATGAATTATTATTTTTAAGACCCACAGAAAGCCTGTATTTCAGAGTGAAACAGGATATTCAACAAATGTAGGTCAGCACTTTATTTTCTCCATGGAAAAATGTGTATCAATATGAGAGGTGTTTCAAAACAAGACAGCTGAAAATGGAAAGCTGAGCAAAATATTACAGTTAGATCTTTTTCTTTACAAGACCAGGAATAGTTCATTCTGATTTGATGCTGACGTTAATCTAAACGAGCTCATAATGCAGAGATAAAGACAGTCGTCACTGCTGCTCACAATAGCCGCTGTTCACACGCTCAACAATACGGCTCTGTTCTGATCGCCTCGTTTACACACACAGTCTATTATACCAGCTAATATACATCACCAGCTGCAGACACACACATTCATGAGTCATGTGTCAACAAACACACACAGCTGTGTGTTGCAATATATGCGCGTGACTCAGTTGCATTTGATGCTTATACATTTTCCGCATTTTTTTGTTTTAAAAATAAAAACTACAGCTGATAGATGGTTTTTACATTGTTTAATAATACTTCACATCATTTTCCGAAGTAGGTGTTTCTATGCTAATTACAGTCTCAAATCACTCCGGCGAACAACCAGAATTTGTTAACAAATGAGTCTGTTTATGCAACAATGCGTATTACGTTTACACCTTCATGAAGTATTTGGAACAAACATGTTCTGACTTCTATTCGGCTAAAACAAAGGTGCGTTTATACCCACAACACTCCTCTGGCAAGTGTTTTCTCATGCAGACTTTAAGAACTAAACGCCTTCTCTGAGAAAACATCATTTGTTAGGGCGATCTGACCTAAGACGGCTGAATTTTACCTGTGAATGTATTTTATGTCCATTTAGTTTGTTATCTGGCAAACATCATGAAATAAACAGATCATGTGCAGTCTGACTGTCTTTATCACAAAACCTTAAATCTTTCCTGGGTGGATCTATCTATCTATCCATCCATCCATCCATCCATCCATCTATCATCTATCCATCCATCCATCCATCTATCTATCTATCTATCTATCTATCTATCTATCTATCCATCTAAATTTGTAGGCATATATTTTAAAATACATATATATTTATAGTTATTAAATTATATTTAATAATTATTTA